TGCAAGGCCACAAGAGCACTGAGCACGTGCATTACATGGCCTATAATATCGTCCATGGGTGATGACTGTAATTAAATTAAAATAGAGCATTCGTAACGATTAGATTAGTGAATTTTAATAGGATGGGCGATTTTATTATAGGGGAATGTTACCAGGATGGGTGTTAGAGATAATAATTGGTATTGAGTTGGGTCGAGTAATTTACTCTACCGCACACGAGTTAGTATAGGTCGATCGGTTTAGTTATGTGTGTATGAATAAAATGCAAATACATTAGTTATGTTAGTTGTGTTGTAGATGTTACTACTTAATATGTGGTATCAAATTCAATATTGTACATCAGCCAACAATTTGATTAGCGGAGAATAATCAGTTATTGACATGGTATCGGAGTTTTTTTTTTTCTAATTGAGAGGTCTTACATTCAAATCCCCAATTAGTTATCTCTCTAAATTCAAATTTGTCTCCCCTCTCTATAACTTATCAAAATCCTTCCTTCAACATTGTTGTCAACACCTCTTGGTGATTGACGATAGTCCTAGTTTATCTCTCGATTTTTCTGGCTTGTTTGCTCCCTTATCCTTTGCTCTGTATTTTTCTTCGATTTTCCATCATTGGTGGCCTTTGTAGCCCCTTTGTGGCTTTTCTCCTTTCCTCGAAGTGGTTTCCACTTTCCTCCCTAAGTGGCGGCTTATGGCGTCGCATATTGTTTTCCGCGCGAGGAAACTCTGGTGTGTGATACTAATACTTTTCACCTTGACTTTTTTGGACAACGATTCTACATACGGTTCACACCTCTCCGAACAATGTTCGAACGAGGGTGTTTGATGTTTTCGATAGCCTTTAGGACAAACTAAGTTATGTTACTTCTATTCCTATAGAGGTTCAGTGAGAGGTCCAGAAACTAAGGGCTACCACTATGGTCACATAGCAGAGAAAAAAATAAAATTTGACTTGTAGAGTTAAATGTTTGGTTGTGGAAACCTTTTCCCGTCTTCGTTTCTCCTCTTTATAGCCACCGGGTGTCACTGCCTTGGTAACCACCTGGTAACCGCTAGCTGGCTTGTTGCTCCAAACTGCCTCAAGGTCTTCCTTGCCGCCTTAGTGTCCGGTTGGTACTTGTCATGTGGGTGGCTTGGCATTAAGCTTGATTGGTGTAGAGTTTAGCTCCATCTTGCATTCTCGTCCTTACTAGATGGGGTTGGGGCCTCCTTGCCTCGCCTCCCTCACATGGCCCTCTCATCGAGCCTCCTTGACGATCCCAACATAATGATTCTATACTCAGCTCCTTTGATGTCAACTTAGTATCATCTTTGTCTCGTTACCTAGCTCGCCTTGACATCCTCGTCTTGTTAGCTAGGTCTTGTTACCCAAGGCTGTCTCATCGGCTTGATATCCCCTGCTACCAAGCTAACCCTGCCGACAAGGTCTCCATACTTAGTTTTTAAAATTTCAACAAGTTGGTGCCTTGCCGCCCTCTGCGAGCTTGGTACCCTATCAGCTCACCATCAAGCTTGTCTTGTCGACATGATCTCGTTGGCTTGGTACCCTGTCAGGTGGCCACCTTAGCTTGTCACTTGGTACCATGTTGCTTGGATACCAAGCCCGTCTTGCCGGCTTGGTACCCTGTTGGCTGGCTACCAAGCCTTGACTCCATACTTAGCCATATTTCATGTCTTAGTACCCCCCCTTGGTGCTTGGTACCCTGTTGGTTGACTACTAAGCCTCGCTTGGTACACTCTTGGCTTCATGCTTAGCCAAGCCCTGCCTTGCCAGCTTGGTACCATGTTAGCTCCATACTTAGCCAATTTTTCATGTCTTGGAACTAGGCATGCCTTGTCAACTTGGTACCATGTTGGCTCCATAATTAGCCAAATTTTATGATTTGGTACCAAGCCTGCAAGGATACCCTCTTAGCTCTATACTTAGCCAATTTTGTCATCGTGCCTTGTTGGCTTGGTACCTCCTTGATGTCCAACTAGCTCATTTAATTATTAATGTTATGGTATAAGATTAATTTTTAGGTGAAAACACATATTTAAACGTCATGATCTTGACTATTTTGAGCGAGCCGAAGCTTTGCTTTGTGCTGCTGTGATGGTTATGAAACCAAGAGAGTTATGATTTCACTTACACTGCCTCCTACAATGTTTCTCATGTTTTGGGTTCGATCAGTCCATTTACCGCTCGTTCTGTGATTTATCTTTTTCTATATGAATTGCTCCATCGGACGTTGAGGTTACCTTTGGTTCTAGATTTTACCGTAATTTTCCATGTTTCTGTCGCTCAAAAGATTTTTATATATTTATTTGGGGCCAAGAGTGAACAGTCTAGTTATTCTGCTAACTTGAAAATTCGTTAGTATATACTAACTAATATCCAAAATGTATGAACTAATATCCAAGTTTGCTGAGTATCTAGATAGCACAGAGTAGTAGTATTCAAAACATCACAAACTAGTATCCAGATAGCAGATACCAACTAATATCCACAATCAACCAACTAGTATTCAATATGGATACTCTTATGTGTTATCTGGATACTAATTATGTGTTGTATGGATACTATTTTGTGTTGTATAGATATTAGTTTGTGAATTTGGGATAATAGTTGATTCATGGTGGATATCAGTTAGTAAATTTTAAATACTAGTCTGTGCTCTCTAGATACTTTAGTATTTGGATACTAGTTCATGTATTTTGGATATCAATTAGTATCTGCTAACAAATCTTCAAGTTAGCAGATTAACTTTAGGGTCTATGTTTGTCGTGATTGGGAAAGGGTACGTTGTGAGTTGTCGGCATCATCAGGAAAATCACAGGAGCATGTGCTTGTGCTACCAGCCTACCACCGCTGCCGTTAGATGCTATCTCTGTTCTATTATTTATTACTCTTCCCATTCCCAATCAGAAACAACAAGGAAATCAATTACAATGCGGAACCAGGTGGGAATTCAACCGAATTCTGACCTCTTCCATAAATCAGAAAGGAGCCATTAACTCCCGTTGGCAAAAGTCATTTCTCGTTTTCTTCCTTCCTGCTGCTTCCATACTTGAGGACAATACGAGCCGACATGTTGCTATCCGTCTATGACTTAAATAGAGATTATTTGTCGTTAATTAGAAGTCAAAAAATCTTGTTGTCCGGTCAACGAGTAGGGATCCAAGGATGAAACGTCGAATTTGAGAGTTCAGGGGGTTCGGTAGGCAAGGTGTATGCACGTTTGTTCGTCTGTTTTGGGTTTGGCCTGTAACTTTTCCTTCTTCCAGGTTGGAATAGGATTAGACCGTCGGGAGAATGTACTATATATACATGTTCCATCTCTCCGTAATCTGCATATCTTTAAGTATAGCGAAACTGTCTTTCTTGTTTGTGGACTAGCTAGCTAACACATATTGTGTTAATAAATCACATAAATCTGTATAATCTTTACTTTCTTGGATTGTCGATTTTCCGATCCATTCTAACGTGATATCTTGCCATCTTCTCCATCCATCATCACGGCGGTGGCAAGCAAGACTTTCAGCCATCCACCACGTACTGCCACTACCCACCCAGGCGCACTTAAATACTTTTGAGCTGACCTGCTCTGCTCAACCACCCACCCAATGCGCATTAAGACTATCACATTCCAATTCCATTCTGCCTCAAAACAACAACCAATCTAAATCACAAGTCCAAAAATTGCATCCATTCTCTCTTCTTTACTGCTTTTGCTCTGTCAACTAGTCATTAAAAGCCAACTAACACGGCAGTAGTGTGTTTTCTTACCAGACGTGGTAAACACGGAAGTGAAGGAAGAAAGCAACCAATTACACACTATTAGAAGGCCTCGGGGTACGGTACAGCTAGGGTGAACAAACACACCCGCAAATCGGCCCACCCGTCCAACCCGACTCAATTCACCCGTATTTATCGCTAAAACAAAGGTTTTGGATTGAGTGAGAGTTTTCTTTTGTACAACCCGTCTGTTTTTTGTTGGGTTTGGATTACACAACCCGTAGAATCCGACCCAACCACGGTTCCAACTATTAGTATGAGTTCGGATCTAAAAAATATTTATGTCGTATATAGCCATATACTTATGAGAAAATTAAGATATTTCGCCATATTTTCTCTCATGGTCTCCCTAATCTAATGCATTCTTCGACTTAAAGTTTAGACATAAATTGAATATAGTTATGATTCACGTAATCCTTTTTCTTGTGTACAATTTTAATAGAATAACTTATTATGGATGTGTTTGTTTATAACATTTTAAGCCTATTTCAACAAATATCGTGAAAAAAAACAAGGCATATGTTGAAGTAAATAACATTTTATTAAAATTCAAAGGGTTAATACCTTAGTTTGGCCCGAACTATACACATATTTTCTACTTTGGCCCGTGGTATTGGAAATTGCTATTCTAGCCTGAACTATGTAGCAAACTTTCTCATTTGGCCTGGAGGCGGGTTTGACCGTTAAATTAGACGGTCAAACTTGTTGACCGTTAGTCAATGTCCACCTCACCTGCCACGTCAACTTTGAGGACATAAAAAATATTTTTTTATTTCTGAATTTTGTTTTCTTGCCATTTGCTAAAAATGTGCCCTTTTTTTCGTTCTTTTAAATAATTTTTTTGATTTATTATTTGGGTTAATTGCATGGTTGGTCACTGACATTACAAAAAGCATTCATGTTTGGTCACTCGAAATATTTAAATCCATTTTTGGTCACTAATTTTACAAAAACCGTTCATTTATGGTCACTCTCCGTTAGCTGCCGTCCAATGCCGTTAACGGCGTCCGTTAAGTGATGACGTGGCTGACGGATTTGCCTAATCACCACCTTTTAACCCGAAAATTGACTGACCCGACCCGCCACGTCATTTAAACCCTCCATGTCAGCCAAACCTAACCAAATCAGACCAGACCCGACTCCTAAATAAAGAACTGACCCGACCCACCAATTAACCTACCCAGCCTCCTCCGCGAGCACATCGTCCCCGGCCTTCCGCACTACCTCCGCAAGCTCGCCTTCGGCACTAAGGTCGAGACTCTCACTCCCGGCAAATGCATCACCGTTACCTCGAGCTTCTTCAGATCCCCGTCGCTGCTCTCGAAAGTTGTCGTCTCCGATTCCTCCCCCAAGAACGAAACCCCCGTCGACAGTCTACTCACCCGCCGCTCGCCGGAGGATCGACGATTCTCGCTCCCGGCTCCCGAACTTGGCCACAGTCGACGAACCGACCCAACGGCGGAGAACCTGTCTTCTGATGAGTCATCGGCCCCTGCCTGCCTAATTCCCGGCAACGCCTGAAGCGATCCTCCGGCGAGCACCGTCTCCACCGCATCCTGGCACAACCGCCAGTTCCCGCTCGACAGCAGCCCCACCGCCCCGTTCACCGGGTTCACCGTCCGGCCACACGCCTCGAACAGAAGCGACTGGAAAATAGCTGCAAATTTCAAAATTGTCAAACCTAGGGTTGACCGAAATTGAAAAATGCAATTCGATCGAAAGAAGAAAAAGGAAATGAAGCTAGAGAACCGCGGACTGGAGCGTTGGGGTTCGGGTACGGCGGAGATGAAGGAGAGCAAATCGCTGCGGCCGAAGAATTTGGCGAGGAGCAAGGTGGTGCGCTTGCGGCGTGGGAATCCAGCGCACCAACGATCGGAGGACGCAATTCTCGCCGCATCCCTTCCGCAATACGCGGCAGCCGTTGCAACTCATTGCTGTCTCAGGCGAATTCTGCTGATGATTGCTTGCTCCGGCGAGCTTGCGGAGGTAGTCCATGGTGAAGAGGCTGGGGACGATTTGCTCGCGGAGGAGGCTGGGTAGATTAATTGGTGGGTCGGGTCGGTCAATTTTCGGGTTAAAAGGTGATGATTAGGCAAATTCGTCAGCCACGTCATCACTTAACGGACGTCGTTAACGGCGTTGGACGGCAGCTAACGGAGAGTGACCATAAATGAACGGTTTTTATAAAGTTAGTGACCAAAAATGGATTTAAATATTTCGAGTGACCAAACATAAACGCTTTTTGTAATGTTAGTGACCAACCATGCAATTAACCCATTATTATTTTTATTAATCGAAAGAAAATAAAATTCAGAAATAAAAAAAATAATTTTTTATGTCCTCAAAGCTGACGTGGCAGGTGAGGTGGACATTGACTAACGGTCAACAGGTTTGACCGTCTAATTTGACGGTCAAACCAGCCTCCGGGCCAAATGAGGAAGTTTGCTACATAGTTCAGGCCAGAATAGCAATTTTCAATACCAAGGGCCAAAATAGAAAGTATGAGTATAGTTCAGGCCAAACTAAGGTATTAACCCAAATTCAGAAACAGCTTAAACCCAAACAAAACGCCATGGTGTCAAAAATTGCTTTATCCTTTCGCGTACTGAGGAATCCAAGGTAAGAACTCAAAATAAGACAAGAACATGCACTATGGTATCGAAGAATCATTAGTCTGTTGGTACTTGACTCCCAAAATCGGTTTGCATCGATCGCTCCAACCTGAGACAGAAGCAAAAGGGGACAAGCCTTTCTTGAGTACATCAAATAAAGACACATAACCATAAGTTTTCCTTATGATCCAATTCCATACAAAACTGAATGCTGGTGTCACCTACCTCAATGCTAATCAACCCATACTATGGCCTCTGATCTTTTATCCTTTTCTTCTTTTTTTACAGTGTTCAGCATTTGCCACAGAGTTGTGTTCATCAGACTAACAGATATCAGGAAGATGAGATAAAAGTAAAACAACAAGAGAAGAGAAAAGAATTTCAACCGGAAGAAGGGAGAAAAGAAGAAAGGCAATTAAATAATAGATGTGTAATTGCTGTATAAGCTCTAGCTTAAGCCCATGGGTCATCCCAGCCTTTGGGACCTTCTCCATTGACGAAATCCATGACTGCCTTCACAACCTCATCGACTCTATTCGAAAGTGAGTGATTCCCATGCTCGATTTCAACTTTCCCTGCCCCTCCCATTACTCTGCACAGCCTGTTCCTCCCCCCATCCCCGCAATGGATGAAAATAAGATCTTTGTCTCGTTAAATCAAAAGGGGAATGCATTTCTGCGCAAGTTCATAACAACAACTTCAAGTCTCTCACCTTTGTACCAAGGCTTTTTTGTCGACATATTCTGGCACATATTCATCGCCCATCGAAAAGATAACCTGCTTATTATCAACCAAACAAACTCAAAATTACTATCATTGAACAATAGCCAAACAGGCAAAAAGAGTACATCTTCAGATTCAGATTCTATACCTGGCAAGGTGTGTTGCACATGTGCCCAAGCCTGAGTCTTAGTTGATCATCGCTCAGATCAGAGCTAAACATGTCGTCATCGCCCATATAGGAACAAAGGGAGTGATACCTGCAAAGTGGCAATAGTTATTGAAGTTTCTGATATACCAAGTCCTGAATGTGTCTGTAGCAAATAATTAGGCAACACTTTATATACATGAAGGGTAAGTTTGTTTTCAACTAGCAACTAAGTAACTTGCCAAAAAACTTGAATTAAAACACACTTTCTCCATATAACTTCTTGGAACAATGATTCACATTAAATCCCATAACTTTAATAGCTCAAAACCATATACCTAACAAAATTTCATTTCTACCTTTGTCACTTTAAAATAGGAATCTATTTCTTAAGGTTATCCCCCATAATAGACATTTCTAAAAGTTCGCGCATTTCTTTGTCATTCAAGAATTTATCTTCCACAAGAAGAGAGGGGGAGCATTTCTCTATAATTTCATCAATTATTTTTAATTACTAAGAAATATCTCACAACCAACCAGCTCAACTTGTCTTAAACCCATCCAAGAACACTTCTTCATTTCTAGTATAACTGAAAAAAGAAATCTCTTTCTCCCTTGTTTGTAGCAAATGCTACCCCCAGAGACCCTGAAGGAAACTCTAAACTATCACGAGACAGATGAATGCATCACAACCATGGTCGGATTCAAAGGGGAACCTGTAAGCAGTTATTGGAGCACAGGGATCAGCTTCTCTGGGCATTAATTCTGATCCCTTGCCTTCTGCTATCATAGATGAAGCCAAATCAATCATAGCAGCTGTTTCAGGTAGAGTTGCTTTGTACTCCCGATCACTAACTGGAGCCTGAAGAAGAGTTCGGATAGTAAGTAAAAGCTTTGCAAACAGAGTACATTTGTATGCCATTCGCGAAAGAGATGGAGCAGCACCAGGGTAGTTAAGAAATTAGAAGTGGATGACTGTTGATGATTGGAATTGGAAGAGTACATTAATTAGTACCAGAGAGTGTAGTATCAAGAGAGAACACCACCTACAGCCTGCTTTTAACTCTTAAACATAAATTTGTGCTAAAAGTTCTGAACCTGTGTACTCTTGAGGAACTAGATATCTTACCTGCAAAATGGCACCACGTACTGCTCTACAGCATGCAGCATTGGAACGCAAGTAATGCACAATATCCTAAATCATGTAACATAAAGACAGAAGATATATTGCATCAAGAAATGTGTAAAGGGAAAAAGGAAGCTTCAAATGCACCCTACAGGCTACATGCCTCAAATTACGTAATACCTGACAACCAGTACTATGCCCGAGAAGAATCACTCCCTCAGAGTTTTCTTTGTTGATGAAATAACTTATCAGCTGATCTAGCTCCGTGGAGTCCTTGATTATACAATAACCAAGCATGAGATAAAAAAGGGGGGAAAAAGAGCATTTTACTTGAAGGAAAACAATCAGGGGATTAGTGACGAACACATTAATTAGTACCCTATGATAAATACAATGCTTACTTGTTTTAAGCTGGAAGTGCCAAATCCACTATATGACGATGACATGAGAAACTGAACAAGAGACCATTTCTCCCTATCCAGGGCAATTGCAAGAGGTTCCAAATATCTAAAAGCCCAATATGAGATGAAGAAAGTGATGTCAGTAACTCCAAAGTCCCATTAGTCCGTCCTTCATATGTGTAGTGTAACTAAACTATCCACAAACAATCAATGACAATTCGTCTCCCTTTCTTTCAAAGATATTGGCAGAGGGGAGATGTATTGCAAAGAATGAATTAAACATGCTGATACATACTCAGTTGCAAGAAAACCGTCTGTCAATCCACCAATGAAAATGACTTGTTGTTTATGTTCCCCCGTTTTGAATGCAACCTGCAAGCAAGCCAAACTACAAAAGTCATTCGAACATCATGGCGAATCTGTTCAGTGCATTCATAAATAGGGTGTCCCGGGTAAAGCAAACAGTAACAAGCACCAACAAGAAAGAAATTAGAAGCTATAGTAGTTCTCATTGTTAACTAAAAGAAGAGAAATGGCAGAAAGGCGGAAACTTCATCAAGCTGAGAGTTAAGACTCCCTAGAGGCAAACACTCCCATCTTCCAGGAAAGCATATGGCTATGAATAAGAGTTTCAGCACAATCCAGATTACGATCCTGGAGGCCAAGACTCTGGAAGCACACTTTGGTCATTGTCACCAAGTAACACCTAATAAAAAACAATGAATTGATTTGCATATAGTATTTCTTCATCTAACAAACAGATCCACAACTATTAACTTAACTGCGAAACCTGCTCTTACTACCTACTCGCCGGACCCCCAATTTCGGCCAGTGAACATGATTTTGACAATTCAACAACATATTAACATCTCAGGCTTTCAGGCTCCAGCAATTTACCTGAATCGCCTTGGGACCGTACTTGAACATCAAACCGCGGAACTGGTTCTTGCCTTTGATCGGTCCATCATTCTCGGCAGCGGGCAAATTACCGGCCGTTTTCATGCTCGCGGACCTATCAGCACGGCCGCGAACAATGCCGGAGAACCATGAGGCTGCCCCGCCGCCGGCGGAAGACGAAGATGCGGACGGAGACGAGGAAGACGATTGAGAAGTGGGAGAAGATAATGAGAGATTCATCTCCAAATCAAAATCAAATCCGAAACCTCCCGCGCTGCGCCACCACCGTATTCATTTCATCCGTCGAGAGATCAGCAGCTGGACGAAGGTGAACACAAAAACGGATCTGACGGTCACAAATGGAGAAGATGAAAACTACTGAGTCAGTCCACTCCGCGCTTCCATTTCTGTCAGAAAGTTCTCCAGATTTCTCTCCATTTTGAAATCTCCGGTGGGTGAGCAACTCGCTGCCCGTCAGCCCGTGAATCCAGTGACTTGGGTTTGGGCCGCTGGTGCAGCTACGGATTGGGCAAGTCCATACAACGCCCGCATGGGCCCGTTTCACTGTGACAGCATGCTGGAGGGTATCACGTCTGATGGGCTTCGGCCCAAATCGGTGGATTTTATAGCAAAGTAAGGGATATCAAGTCAAAGAGAAGTGATCAACTGGTTCTCGATTCGTTATCACGAACTCCGATATCATGTCGAGAACCATCTGTGGAGATGTTGTTGGATGTCGACGTATTTGTATGTAGCATAGCATATTTAGGTATGTGTAGATGAGAACAATCGTAGTCTTCCTTGTCTCCTAAAAGGCTGGCCAACAAAACGACAAGAAGCCATATATGTGGTTATGGCAGGCTAGCTAGGTCATTTTCGGGATGGTGACCGGTGATGATAATGGCTAATAATCTGGTTGATTGGCGTCCAGCTAAAATGGCTATTTGTAGAATTTCAGAACAGAGTATTTGGTATTAATTCGGTGTAGAAAAGTGCCATTTTTGAGCACATATCCTGGTAAAGTTGGC